ACCTGCTGTGGTTGTCTGTGGCAGTCGGTGGCCAGTCACCTCTCTGTGCCTGATGTCTGATTTGTGAGGAGGCTGATGCTGTTCCAAGGCGCTGTAAAATGAGGTTTTCATAGCCAAAAAATCTTTGGCTGGATTTAGCCTCCATATCTGCATCCTGTCTGCACACAGGGTACGTCACCACATCTGATACCAGCTCCTGTCAGTAAAAGGAGTCAGGGGTGAGTGGTTGTTTGTGGCGTTCAGGTTAAACCCCCTCCCGGAGGAGTGCTCACTGTGTCTGTGTCCTCCGTGACACCAACCGCTTCTCCTTTCATCCCTACCCCATTTATTTCCCCAGTCATTCAGCTTCTATCCCACAACCCCCCATAATGACTGCCTGCCATTTTTACCTCTGTTCTTCTATTTAGTAAGACCAGGAATGTCTTTATGCTGCTCTCCCCATCTGTGTGAGCCTACGAGACCTTCCATCGGAGTCTTATGGTACAAGCAAAGTGTCAGTGAGCAGTTTAGTTGGAGAGGGGAGAGCAGGGCAAGGCCATAGGGGCCTGGACACTGAGTAGAGCCAGAAGCAAAGCTGAAGGGTTGTTGTGATGTTTGGGTGATGCATTTTGTTAGGCTGTCGCATGTGCTAAGTAAAAATACGCCTGACATGATACCTGACTTGGGTATCCTTCATCTGACCACTGTCACTTGTTGTTTGAGACCCCAAATAGTAACAAGAAACTCTGCCATCCATTGACACAGCAAGTGTCTTGTGGATTTGTATTCAAATGTTTGGGCTGCTCTACATTCTTCAGATTATGAGGCAATCTATTTGTAGGTGTCCATCAAGCACCAGCACTTGCTCCTACTTTCACCATGCATTTAATGGTCTCCTCACCCTACAGACAGCTAGATGGTTGCTTGTCAGCCAAAACTAAGAAGGATTTCCTCTTCTTTTGAAGGGATGGGTGCTCAGAGATTTATCAGTAATACATTTGTACTTAATCACATAGAGTCTGTCCTGTGTAACTAAGAAGGCCCACAGAATGTTGCTGGCATAAGCAGCTACTTGAGTGAAGTCCCACTCGAATTGCCATTTTGCATTCTACCTAAAACTGTGCTTGATGGGTTTTAAATTACCATTATTAGTCTGTTGGCCTAAAACGCCAATAATGCAGTGATGTTCTCGTGCAGCTTTTGTGTACTATAATTTTGTATTAATTACTTAGAAATTAGGACCAGTACATAATTTGGAACAAGACTGTCACCCTGTCTATGCCAATTTTAAAAATTTTAATATTAAAAGTGAATGAGTTCATCACAGATCTAATTAGCTCTTTAGAGAATCTACTTTGTGCTGTTGTCTGATCTGTATTGATGTTAACATCTTATATAACCAGCTTTAGGAAATGCAGCAGTCTGAAAGCTGGTTTCTGTGTCCCTGTGCTCAGGCACTACCCTCAGGAGAGTACCAACAATGAGTGGAATTCAGGCATTTCTGCTGTGGGTTTTTTAGGGGGATAGTAAAACAATTGATTATCTGCAAATCAACTCTTTTTTTCTGCCAACTGTGCTCTCCAAAGACTTGCTTATTGATTAATATAGTAGGGATTTTACAAAATGAGCTAGATGTTCCCTTCTGCTGTTCAGACTGGGTGGTGAAGTAATGGAACATGCTATTTTGATAGTTTGGAACACACCCCAGGAGTTGATTAAATTATCTCTGTTTTACTCTGTATGCAAAGTACAAGCAATCAGAGCTGCAGCCATAAGCCTGCAGTATCTGCTCTGTCCCTGTGTGGCAGAGCACATGGCTTTCTACCTCTTTAAACACAAAACATATTTTAATAGGCAAGTAGTTTGTCAACAGAGATAGTCCCCTTTAAAAACTTCACAGTAGATGAAGTGGAATTGCTACTGTGAACTCAGTGATAGATCTCTTACTAATGATCCTAAAATATCCTTTTAGAAACCAAAACCAGAATCTGAGCTGAGCTTTGTGTTTTCCTTTCCATGAGTCATGACCAAATGGATGACTCATCTCTAAGTTCCAATGCTTGAATACTTGATCCTGAGCAGCATCTTCACGTCGATTTTCCAAGGAGAGGTTTGATGTCTTCCCTCCAAAGTTAGAAAAGCATAGGCAATCAACTGGTTTTGTTTGTTGTTCCTCAAATTTTTGGGAGGCATCACCTCATTTATGGCTTAGGTGAGCTCTGTGGTAGATCCAGATACAATTTGTCATCAGTTTCTGGAGGAGGGGCTCTTCTTCAGGCATTCTGCACCATGGTTAGAAGGTTGCTCTGTGTGTTTAGATCAATGAACTATATGATAACCTTGTCTAAAGGAAATGCAATGCCCTGTTAGATATAATACATGAGATGAGAAACCCAAATAGAGCACAATCCTGCCACTTAAATCATTAAGATGCCCACAATTAAGTCCTGTATATTCCCTACCAACTATTAAGTGGGAACAGGCCATGCTTGATAAATTTGTTCCAGTTCTTGGTTCTGGATAGTTCAGGGAACTAAAGCAGTGACAGATAAAGGCAAAACTCCCAGATCTGAAAAGAATTAGACCTGTATGTGTTCCAAGTTGGTAGAATATGGATATTTCTTGACATTGAAGCCATTTGTGTTGAGACACCAAAGCAGAGACAACAGCACTATATAGTTTTGACACTTTTATTAACAAAGAACCCATGGGGCTCATTCATTAGTACAAAATACAATCATGTTCTTGTGTGTTAAACAGCATGTTTCTTTTTTTAATTTTTATTTTGTCTCTTTTAAACTGTTTCACAGTTATCAAAACAAAGCCCCTGCATATTGAACTTATTATTGTGCAAACAATAATTATTTTAAGGATCAATTTCTGCACTAAGCCAAGTGTCAGAGAGCAGAATTTAATCTTGTTTTCACCCCTCCTTTGAAGGGCCTCGTGTGCTTTCTAAGAAGCACATTGTAGTTGTCTTTTTTTGCAGCAAACAATCTAAGGCCACAGTTTATCTGCAAATAATAAAAAAAACCTCGAAGACCTTAGGAAAAAAAAACAAAAACAAATGCACTTTACCCTCCATGCTCTTGTTTGCTTAACCATGTTTATACCAGGCAGCACACATCACCTATTGGGAACTAGGGTCCAAAAAAAGCACCTAGTGTTCTTTAAGCTAATATTTTAAGTTATTAACATGCAAGTTAATACACAGTCATGTTTCTTTTCAAGTATCTATAATGGTATCTGTTTAAGGAAAATATGCTTGATCCCTTTCCAGGTGATGTGAATGAAAATCCTGCATTGGTGGTACAGGCAAAAGGCATGAGAGCTATGTCTGGAGACTTAGGTAAGTACTATTTTTTAGGATGTCCATTCTAAAACATGCACTCAGATTTTGGTTGAAGCTGCATTTGCTACAGAAGACAATACTTAAAGTTGCAAATGAAAAAAAATAACTGCAGTTTGTAAGGGGAATCTCAATCAGTATGTATTTTACACTGATGTCAAAGTGGCTTGAGGTGAAGTGCTAGAAATCAGACAATGGAAGGAAGTCATACTAGAAGACCACTAAAAATATAAATCCATGTATGCCTGTAGAAAAATCCCTGCTTTTTAGATGAAGACAGATTTCATAAAAAACGATTAAAACTTTTTAAAACTGCAGTTATTGATGAAATGAAGGAAACTTGATGACTATCCTTGTAGTTATCAGAAAGTACAATGTTTTACCACATGAAGCACCGGGTTTTAACCCCAAACCCTTCTGTAAGACATATGGAGTAGTTCTAGTAGTTCTAAATTCCCTGTAGTTTAAAGACTGGATTGTAAACGTGCACATTGACAATGCTGTGTTTCTGCTCTGTTCAGTGATCCCTTGATGGTGGTGGCTTGTTCACTGGATGCTTGGCAGGAAGCAAACATTCTACTTTAAAGGAAGGCAACAAAAGAGCCAAGTTAAATGTTGTGCCTTCACTCTTAGCAGCAACAAACTCACTGTTCTAAATGACCTGAGGAAGAAAACATTAAAATATTGCACCAAAACAAAACAGGAAAAACAAACAAGGGAACACACTAACAAAAAAAAATAAAATAGTATAGACAGCAAATGACCAGTGCAGCTCCTGACAATAGATCTCTAGACAAAAATGCAGGAAAAGCTTTGTGCCATTATGAGAGGGTTTTTTGTTCCCCTGGTGTTTGCTTTCACTTCAGTTATAAGCTATGTCTATTCTGGGTATATTTACACCTCTCCCTACACCTCCTATCTCATTCACTAACCACAGAAACCATTTTCGGTTCCTTTTAGAACCTTGAAGTATACTGGAGCTTTAACAAGACTCTTTTTTGGTCTCAAATCTGACCTTAAGTAAATATCCAAAACAGAGGTAGGCTTATAAAGGCTTTTGAATAAATAAGTATTGTCCATTTTTCTAAGTACACCTGCTGTTGGCAAAAGGATTCTCCCTTGCCATGCTTCCCCTCATTATGCTATCCATAGGCTTAAGATGCAGAAAAAGAACTCACAGTAGAAGAGGCTACAATAATTCCCTTAAGAAATCCCTTGAAAGAAAGCGTAGTGCAGAAGCTCTTATCGAAGTTCACTTTTCTTTTACATACTTGTATCTTCCATTCAGTCAATGGTTGCCTTCCCAATATTGTGTAACACCTGTTCTGTCATCCATGATGTCTTTAGAATCATGGTGAATGATGAAACAGTTCCACTTGGCAGTCGTTAGAAGGGCAGGTTTCTCATGAAATACAAACTTCAGCTAGAGTGAAGACTTCACTCCCCATTTTCATAGTGTTCCTTTCTTGGATGCAGACAGTGCAAAACTGAAGCCCCTTGAACACTGGAATCTTTTGGAAATGTTTTCTTTCCCCGTATTCTGTTCTACTACAGACGTTCACAACATCAACATCATTACATAAATTCTTCCAGAGTGTTCCAAACAAAATATAAATTCTTTTCTCTTCAGAAGATCCTCACATCTCCTTGCACATTATGTAGTATATCCACTTTTTAGAAAGCATTCATGATTTTTGGGTACTTCTCAAGTACCCCAAGCATAGCTGCTCCCACAATATCCTCTGTGCAGACTAATCCAGCAGATTCTCTTCCATCACCAAATGTGCTCATACCTCCCTCTCCATTTTCTTCTGCCTTTCTTGTACAGAAACTTAAGTTTTGAAAAAGAAAATGGTTTCCTTTTTAGCTGCACTATCAGCTTAAGCAGCAAAAAGATTAAGACATTCATCACAACGATGCTCATTACAAATCCTCTTCAGAGCATGAATGAAACAGGCTGAATTTCTTCTACGTCAGTTGGATGTGGATCGATCTACAGAGAGAAGAAAGGCAACAATTACTGCCTGTAATTCCTGTATTTCTGTACGTGTGTTTTATTTTGCCATCTGACAAAAAAACCACCACCTGCTGTTTATTTTTTTACCTCTGAATAAAGAGGTGGAGGCTGAAACCGGAACTCTTGTATGTAAGCAAAGACAGGACAACACAATTGTTCCTCACAGTCAATTGGTGGTGGATAAGCAGGAACGTGTCTGGAGAACTCTTCCTCAGACACTACATCAGCATAATTTGGTGGTGCTGAAACACAAGAGATGCTACTGTCAAATTCCAAACTATTAACTCACAGCAAGACAACATACATATTTCAGTATCCAAGACCATTTATTAAAAATTCTACTGTTGTCAAATTATATTAAGTGCTTTATACTCATAAATACTGTAACTGGAATGATGTATTTAGTAAGCTTAGGTGATTCTATGATTCTCTTTTACTGGATCAGACTGCTCAGATGCAGCTTCACTGCAGGGGGGGCTGGACTAGATGACCTTTAAAGGTCCCTTCCAACGCAGTGTTTTCTGTAATAAGCAGGAACACTACAGATGCTTTTAGGGCTACTCCAGCAACAAAACTGTGTCCCATCACAATACACTCAGTAATCACACTATAAGGTGTGTACCTCCCAAGTGAATTCCCATTATTACAAGTTAGCTATTTCAAGATTAAGCTGAAATTAGTCAGATAGGGACAAGAGACTTTAAAAGAGGCTGGAGTTAGGGCATCTTCACCAGTCCTTTTGGATCTTAGATGTGTGTGTCTCATTTCTCATGAGTGACACTTTAATGGCCTATATCCCTAGCAGTGCCTTTTATCCCTCTGCTGTGGACAGTACTATGCTGTATTACAGGGAGTTGAACATGGATTGATTACCTTCAGGGTGTTCTGGCATGGTCAGTGCCAGCCAACTCATATCCATACTAAACTGGCTGGTAATGCTGGAGTTTCTGCTTGAAAATCCAATACATGGAATTGTGCCAATCACCAGAGGCATTTCAATCATCAATTTCTTAGCACCAGGAATATGGATATAAACCTATGTGACAGCCCCCAAATAAAAGAAAAAAAAGAACAACCAACATGAGACCCCACTGAACTGCTGCTCCTAGAAGCTACCTATTCCCTATACTGCAGACTGCTTAAAAATTAGGTTCTCACCCCAAATATAATTAGCTAATACTCTGGCAGCTTTCCTTATTTTCCAGCAACTTCTTTCTTTCTTTCTATACCTTGTCATCTACATTGAAAATATAGAAAACAGGTTGACAAAAGTAATTCTGGACTTGACTTTCAGTCTTTTTATTTCTGAAAAGAATCATTAAAGTGATGCACTCAGCTTGAACTACTTTCCTGATAAGGCCTGTGGCTATAAAACTGAGCTGCTGCTTCCTCAGAAACATTTTTCCATTTTCCCCACAATTCCTGTCTTTCAGGATTTCCATGACCTTCAGTCTCTCACCTATACATTTGTTTTTGTTCCCCAATTCAAAACCTAAGAGCTTCTCAGTAGAGAAATTTCTCCTGTTCCCAACTCAACACAGTATTCATGAGTATGTACACCTGTGATAAAATCCATACTTACAGCTAATGAATATTCTACTCTAATAATGCAGCAGTCAAGTATAGAGGGGGATACAGGTGGGATTTTCAGAGTTTTCCCATTCCAGGTATCTGTACTCCCAGAGGCAATATGGTTTCCTCGGACATTGGCAACCATCTGACGGAAAGTTTTTGTCTTCCCACTGGCCAAGTAAGTTTGTGTTTGGAAAATGGCAGCTTTTGGAACAATCAAACGAGAAGAGCAGTTCTCAATTTCTGCATAGATTGGGATGGCTTCCCCTTAAAGACAGAAAAAGTTCAGTGAATAATTTGTATTTACCAACTTTCCTCTGGGAGTATCAAAGCACGTTATGCAGCACATACATCATCTGCAGTGTTAAGAGAATGATAGTTTCCTCAAGCTAGGTTTTTGGGGTTTTTTGCTGAGTGGTATCCAGGCAGAATTACAGCCACATACTACATTTTATGCATAAACAATGATTCATTTTGAAACATTAAGCATCATATGAACAAGCTATAAAAGCTTTATTTGCAAATCATGCACCAATCTTCCTTTTATATAGCACTAACTGAATTCCAAAATGTTTTATTTCCTTAATGTATCTGATGTTATCAAGATGACAAAGAGGCTGCTAAAGCTTCTTCTTACAGAAGTGTAAACCTACTCAAACAGGACATAAAAACCTGATTACATCCCCCATTTTATCCCAATTAAATGCATAATGTTGTTAATGGATTTTCAGTAAGATTACTGACTAACATTCTTTCAATTTATACTCCCACAGAGGGAGGGAGGGCCAAGGCAAGATTAATTTTGTAAAACAAGTTCATATAGATCTCAATTTACTACCTACTAATTAGGTAGGAATTATTAAAAGGAACTGTTCTTTTAACTATGAAGTGTTGGCTTCACAGAGATGAAAAAAAAAAATCCTATTAGATGTTTAATATTCACATTTTCAAGAGAACTACTCTTACCATTACAGTATCCCTTCCTCTCAATTTTGGCACTGAGAGACACTGGCCCAGAGGTGAAAAACCAACAGCCAACCATCTTCTCCTGACTTCTTAGAACAGGTGTCTATAAAATACAGAGCATTTTACATTTTACAGCATAAAGCTACCAACCACTTGCAGTTTGGTATTATGCACATTAGTCATTGCACTCTGGCTCTAAAATCCACTCGATCTGAATCACTGTGCTACTCAAGGCAACTGGAGAGTTGCCACCATGTAAAATGGAACCAAGGCTTGGCCATCTGAGCTTGCAGCTGTTTTAAAATCCCAGTCTCCATTTAGACCACACAGAGACCAACAGGCATTGGAACATAATCTGTCTTCAAAAAGATTGAGTTAGCAAATTATATAGGTGTGACTTTTTCAAGGCCTAATGAGGTATTTATGCCCATGTTTCTCAGTACAGAAGAACACAATTAATTTTGTCTGCAAGCCACTAATGTTATGCACTTAAATGCCTTTTATCTTTGTATCCTTCACAAGAGAGGATAAATGCATACACACTGGGCTAATTTGATGCATCTTCCTAACTTGCAACCCACAAAACTCCCCAAAAATTTCATCTCATGACAAAACCCATCTTAATTTTTCATGGAGGGCTGTCACATTACATGCCATTTACACTGTAAAATTTTCATTAGAATAAACTTATACAAGTACACATGTCAAGGGTCCAAGCCAGAATTCAAGCTACTTCAAAATATTTACTGGCCACTACTGCCCAGTTAATATATTTATAAGGTCTGAGATTTTTTTGGTTGTTTTGCACTTTTTTGGTGGTAGGCTTAGAATCCATTAAGGCAAGCACTGCCTACTTGATATGTCCCACAGCCCTCTCCTCTTGTGCAGTAACCTATGTTCTATTCTTTTCAGTATCTGAAGATGCTTCTGTCTTCATGCTCCAAACATACATTGTTGAATATAAATTCCATATTCTGCTTACAGATGTCACTGCCCAAGTACTTAAGTTCTCTCTAGAGAGAAAGATTAAAATGTAAGAACATAAAGAGCAAAAAATCCGTGCTCAAAACATCTCTCAGCTACATTCACATAATGATGAAATGTTAAAATTATCCTAGCATTTTAGATAAAATAGAAATTAGTCATTCATATTTAAATGAATAACCATTTAGATCCAGTAGCTATCATGAAAGTGCAAGGTATAATTTTATATTATTTTCATAATATGGGTTGAGATAAAAGAATCCAGCTCATTAGCTTCCATCTTGCCTATTTTCTCATTACTTAATGCCTGATCTTTCTTATTACTCTACAGTATTTCTAGTGATTATTAGAAACTCAATGCTTTAATGTGGCCAAATCTGTCACAGGGAAATAACTGAAAAGATCTCTGGAGCAGCTGCATGCACACACTTAATGTTAGAAAACGACATGCAAAATGGAAGGATATGTAACATAATGGCCAGAGCATAAATGACAGGCTGGGCATGATTAATACTCTTCTATAATTACTGTTCCTCAACCTACTATTATTGTAGAGTTTAAGACAGTTCAGCCCTGTGAATGTAGTTGCTCTGGTAAGAGCAACTACTTTAGGCTTGTGCATTATTATTATTAAGCCTTATTTATGCATCTGAAGCCTGCATAACTTTTTGGCAAGAGCATTTCTGCCAGCAGGGATCCAATCAATGGTATTAAAAAAAGCCACTGTTTGCTATTCACACAACCTAAGATCATCTATTTATAGAGAAAAGCTTAGGGAGCTTATATCCTTTCAGAAGTCAGAAAATGACACTCCAGAATAACATGGAAATGGTTATGGCTGGATGTGAATGCTTCTTGGAAATGATTTTTTTGCAGCTGGCTTTGGAGGAGGGAGGAGGAGGGGAGGACCCTCTTACCAGTAATGCTGGTGAGCTGACGTCGATATGGCTGATGACCTGGAGCTCTGTCTGTACACTCTGATCAGGTGCTGCAGGCCTCTCCAGAATTGCCTTCACGTAGTACTGAATACTGCCATACTTCCCAGTAAAAGAGGTCACCAGAGGTCTGAAACAAGCAGACATTAAAGCATAATTCAGTTCCAAAGATGAACATTTCCTGTATATGTAAATGTTTGCCAGTGCACAGCTTGTACTTTTAGAGCCTTAGGGAAACCAAAGCAAACGAGGCATGTCTGTGTGGTGGCTGATTAAGACAAACATATAGAGCTGACCTATCAGCTTGATATTAAGAAAACCACAAGTCAAATCACATTAACTTAATGTTCCACAACAAGCAGTGTCCAGCACAATCCCTTCAGGTTGGATTATTTACTTACTCTTGAGGGAGTTGAAAGCTGAACGGAAATTCGTGTCTTCCATCTAGAAGAACTAAGTTTTCCTCACCTGTAGGATAAAAATGAATAGTGTGTTTGTTATTCCATAAATAGCAGAACAAAGCAGTCGCTATTATAAATTATTTATGTATAAAAGCACCCAGATACAAGGGACTAGGAGAAGCTTTTATTGATCCCAGTGGGTTCTGGATTGGAGCCCATGCTTTATTTATGCTGTGATGTGATTTCAATGAAAAAATTAAGGAAATGTGGAGACCTTGAGTTTCAGTTCAGGACTCTGGCCAATTTCAAATCCAAAATGGCTTCTGGAAAGAATCAGCAGGACAGCAAATAATCTGGTTTTTGAGTGAACAGCTAAACTAACTTTTGAGCTAAAACGCTGCAATGTTAATGCCAGTGTTATGAAATACTGTAGATAGATGTAAACTTAATACATGCCTAGAGAGCCTACTATTATAGCTTTTAAAGGCCTGCTTCCCACAGGTAAACCTGAGATGTGTTTCACCCTGATGGAATGAAATGCCCTTTCCCTGCAGGTTTCAAGGCTGTCACAGGGCTGCAGAGTCTCGAGTGGCAGAGGTGTCAGCGACAGACCCACGCAGCAAAGAGCTTCCCCTGCTTGCTGAAGCCACTGCCAAAGGAGGCCGACTGCTTCCAGCGTCTTCCACGGGCGGATTCCCAGACGCTGCTGCAGAGCACAAGCTGCTCGATCTAATTCATCAACGAGCGAACCTCTGCAGGCACCCAAGGCGGAGCGAGGGGAACCAAGAGCTGCCGAGTTCCTTCTGGCCGCGTTCCGCGTTTTCCAGCCGTGTCTGCGAGCCTGGATCAGGCT